TTTTGTCATTAATTTGAAATTGTATTAGTGCCCGAAGTTCTTTAGCCCTCTGTGCCCAGTATTGTGAAGTGCCACGTAATGGTGCCCCAAAGTATAATTTTTTTTAGCTTGTGAATTGTCACCATTTTGAATTTTTACTCGAAATTCAGAAATAGATAAATGTTGTTCTCCTAGCTTTTGGTGTACAACAAAATTGCTATTTTCAATAGCTCTCTTTCTTATAATCATGTTATGAACAACAAATTTAAAATAAGGATGATGGGCAAACCTTCCATCATCATACCAGAGCAGATGTTCTGCCCAATCACACATGGAGGTCTATTCATGTTAAAATCACCTGTACCATAAGGAGACAAACAAGGAAAGGCAAGTGTAAAAAAAATGGTGTGTTATAAATTCAGATACTGGTGTGTTTTCCCTAGTTGGCCAAGGTAAAGTAATTGTACCTTTTTTATTAATTGTAACATCACCATGAGCTTACCCAACAACATCAGTCACAATATCTTCTACTTTGTTCCTGATATCAAAATGTGGGTCAGACAAAATTACACTTGAATGTGTATTACCTTCTATTTCACCAGGGTCTGTTTGATCAGGGGCAGGGCCATTGTTAGAAATATGAACAATATTGGCTTGATATTTAACTGTTTGTATATCTGACAGTTCACCATCAATAGGCAATGCAACTAACCTTTCTTTACTAATAATATTGTCAAAATAAGCCTGATTGTACTGTTTTTTAAAAAAAAGAGCAGTTTGTATTTTTAACCTTTTTACTACAAAATCTTTAGATGTTCCATTTTTGCCCTGCTTCCGTACACGAATAATATTAATATCTGCAGGAAGTCTACGAAATATTTTGGCTGGTTCATTTACTTCTTGTGTGAAAGTAACACAGTGCCCACCAGAAGCGATACCCCCATGGCCTAACATGTGAACATTTATACAAGGTGAGATTTTACATATAAATTGTTGTTCAACAACACTTAAATCGGCAAGTTCAGATGGAATATATTAGGGTCCATATTGTTTTCTGCTGAAAATAATTTTATTGGTGATTTATCTAAATGACAATGCTTACATTCATTATCTTGTGCCATTTTTATATCCATTTTTCTTTCTGTGCAAATATTACAAAATTTAAAACAATAAGACATTTGTTTAATTTCAAAACTACGAATACAATCCATAACTTTATTAAATTGTAGATTTTCATGAAAAGGTGGAGGATTTGGAATATCTTTTTCATCAATATTTAAAAGTTGTAGCTGTTTTTAAATTTTGTATTGCAAACGACGCTTTCTGTTTGTTAAATTATTTTTACTTTCTATATTAGCTGGGTGTTCATATTGTATTCCCAGTTTCCTGCATCTCATATATACTTGATCAGCAAGAGGATCATACTGATTGTTAAAAGAAGAGTTTGAATTTACAGTGAGCCTGTTTAGAGTATTGTTTTGATCAGGTTTTTCATTTTCATCTAAGCCTAAGGAACCATAAATAAATGATGATCTAAAGATTTTGCTATTTTCTTGGATGCTATTTGAAATTTGTGGGGAGAACACTGCTCAGCAGTATAAATGTATTCATGATCATCTTCTGTTTTTGGTTTTTCTACATCAATTTCATGTACTAATTCAGAGTCAGTTTTATGTAATTTCTTGCTTTTTGGTTTTGTAGCTGATTTTTTTGTGGTACACTTTCTTTTCAAGTTTGGCATTTTGATTGGTACATTTTTTACTTTTGGTCATGAAAATTAATTTGTAGTGGTGAAGTTGGTATAGCCATTGGTGTTTATTTCTTTACAGGATTGAAATGTGCACCTGATAAAAGTATATCCACATCCGGTAGAGTGAAAATGTTTTGATATGGTTCAAACTGACGCATAAAATATACAGGCGACTGCGGGAGCCAAATATTTATATTGCATCCAAATAATGTGGCAGCAGCTTGAATTTCACTGGATGTAGCCCACATACTTCCAAGTAACATGCCCTGTATATACCTATCAAAAGTTATGGTATTATCATTGGTTATCATAACTCTATCTTCCCATAAAATCCAATTTTCGACAATATTGGAGCATACAATATATCTATATGTATCACTCAGACTCAAGTCTCCATTTATGATTAAACTTAGAGAGTGGAAAAAAAACATTTTCCATCTCCTGGGACTGTATAAGATAAATATGTGTCATTATTAATGACAATATTTGTTGAGGGCAGTGAATCTAAGTTTGCCAAAGGAAGTACAGATTTAGCATATTGTGAATTTTAATGCGAATTTTTTGTTTTGTTTACTTTTGAAAGCTTCTGTAAAGTTGCAGACTGCTGCTGAATAGAAATGTTATTGGGAATTTCACCTGTATTTGTCTGTGAGCTACATGAATTACCGTGATCACCTACGACAGTATAAATCAACGTCATTATCACTGTTACTTGATAATTCTGTATCAGATGAATAATAGTAGTCATGGTCAACCAGAGCACCGGATTTTACTACCTCTGCATATGACCTACGTTTCTCCCGAAAATTATTGCTTGCAGAGGGTTTTTCTGTGTTCCCATGGCTGGACGGAACACTATATGATATTATGACTTTTAAATGAAGTACCTGCAATTATTTAGGAAATTTGCTTTCGCTTTCACTGACAATGGAAAGATGAAGCAGACGATAAACATCACATAAGATAGGTTAAAGGTTACTTGTTCGTCCAAACTTCGGATATTTCAGTGGTACAATAAAATTTAAATAAACTACACAAGTTACCAAAATTTGTCTATTCTTGTTTTTGTAAACAAATAAAAATTCATGTCGTATTCAACATCGAATTTGTTCCGTTCTGTCCCGTTTTTTCAAGTGCGCGATTAAAACGAGAATCTGGCAGCCATTAACTAAAATAATCGTACGAGATTTAACGAGATTGACGAAACTTTTCAGATGTGTCATGTAGAGAGAGTTATCGTTCTTTATTCCAATTCGATGCTTCTACCATAAGTGCCAGCTAACGCTGGCATATAATTAGCTATGTAGTCAGTGCTTCGGTACATACCTATCTTAAAATTCTCCGTCGAATTAAGGAACTCAACCCCCTCAGGCACCTTAAATTGATTTTTTTTAAGGTCCATTGTCGTCATGTATCTTTTCACGTATTCAAGTACTTATACATCTTTATCTTTCATATACTTGGGTTTGATCGTTCCTAATGAATCGATACCGGTTCGGAAGCACCAAATTTATTAAGGTATTACTTTAGTTTTGTTGCACTGTGTCGATACCGCTGATCAGTGAAAATTTCCGGAAGGTTTTCCACAGAGTCTTTATGTTCGTCAAAACTTTTCTTAGATTTTGATTTACTTTTTTTAGTTTTTTCCTTGAATCTTACGATGATAAAAAAATTCTCTGAAAAGTTGAGAGTGTCGTCTATATATCCTGTTATACTCATATTTTGGCTTTAACTTTTCATTTCCGAAAACAGTAATTTGTCACTGTGTTTTTATTTCTTTTCAACCAAAATAAGCCAGTTATTCGATTAATGATTCGTGCCTTTAGTTAGATCTTAGCATTGATATTGCATACTTGAAACAACCTGTCATCGAAAGATATTTTGTTAAAAGATACTTAATATATGTATATCTTTTTGTTTAGTGGATCTATATGATATGTCTGTGTTTCAACTCGTTCGCTACAATTTTTCGAAGGCATAAATCTTTATATTGCCGAAATAGTCGTTGATGAGAGGGGACTTGCATGGCGGCTAATGAATGCCAAACAGGAGACGCTTATCCAGTCGACGGACCCGGTCTCACTCCTTTTAGAGTTTTTGTTTGTTACCGTGATTTGTCATCTGCTAGTAAATCGATTTATTCAGATTTTAATATTTGGTAAGCTACTGAGGTTAACGGACGATAAAAACATATCATTCAATTCAGAACATACAAATCAAGGTAAGAATAAAGCATGAGGGAATTGCATGAAATCAAAAGAAGCGAGACCGCGCGAGTCGACAAAGTAAGAATCCCCGAGCACTCTAGGTCACCCTCTGTTTCATTGGTGGGGTTCATGTTGCTCAGTCTTTAGTTTGTATGTAGTTTTTGCGGATTTCGTATTTGGCCATGATATTATCAGTTTATCTTTGTCTTAAAAGTTTTGAATGTCCCCTTCACATTTTCTACCTTTTTTACAGACGACTTTATTATATAGATATCTAACACCGCGAAAAGATGTCGACAGTGAGTTGAAAAGCAGACATATCGTAACAGCTTAACAATTCGTGAAGCTGACCGTAACATTTTTGAATTGTCGAATCTAGTCGATTTTTTTTTCAATCGTTATTCTTCATAATCTGTAGGATCACACCGTTGTTAATGACATCGATATAATGTGAAAATGCACAATTATAACGTATAAAATGAGATATATAAACGCCGTTCGATTGTCCAGAGGGTATGTTACTACTGAGAAATGGGAAGTTGATAATGGGAATTCTCACATCATCACGTATGTTATAGATTATAGTTTGATATCGTCTATCTATGGCAAGATCAGAAAAAGAGTAAGATTGGAAGCGGACTTTTTATTTTCGATATTTATTATCCTTAATTTCAAGTTCACTTGGATATATGAGTTACGAGTTTTAAATATGCAGATATTTTCACTCCGACTATAAACAAAAGTCATACAAGTTGGGGGTTTAGCTATTTATAAAAACCAGGTGTAACCCGCCATTTTCTTCATTTCACCTTGAAGTTCGGTATTTTTGTTAAAACTTTTCTACTCTAATATTTGTTGGCTTTTTACATGCGTAACTGTTTGTTGACTGTCCTAATTTTAGTACTCACTAATAATAGCAAAGGTAAATCCTCAGTTTTGAATAGATTTATGTGTGTTCTTCCATATTTTTTTATAGAACGAAATCAAAATGATAACTAATAATAATATCCCTTATACATATATATGCGTGATAGACTATATACGCGTTTCTTTTTTGTTTTCAGATCTTTGAAAACTGTTTCAGTGTCTATGGAGGTAATACTGTTTGCCATGATTGCACTTCTAAGTGCAGAAGTTGTTCATACCTACCATGAACCAGAATGGGTGACAGCGCCAGTAGAAGGTAATCCATTATAGCTTATAGAAATTATATGATTTCTGGAAGTTTGCATTTTTCTATAATTTGCAAAAGTATAAATAAAGGCAACAGTAGTATACCGGTGTTCAAAAGTCATAAATCGATTTAGAGAAAAAAAATCCCGGTTACAAACCAAAATCGAGGGAAACACATCAACTATAAGAGGGAAAACAAATGAACAACAGGAACACCGAAGTACAACAAAAACAAACTCCAACACACATAGAAACGAACTATTTGATAACAACTGCCATATTCCTGACTTGGTACAGGACATTTTAACAAAAAATGGTGGGTTGAACCTGGTTTCATGGCATGCCAAACCTCCTGCTTCATGACAATGTTAAAAAATATTGCTAAAACACTACGTGACAGAAATACAGCACAAACACACGCAAGAACATTCATAACAGAGAAACGCACAAACAAATAATATAATAGTCGACACAACATACAAACCACAGAACAACAACGAACATATTCTCCATCAACGAAAAACACCACAGGATATCAAAAACAGTGACGCGCTTACATAACTAACATGCAATCTGGAACTTTATACAATTATTTTCACAATATTGGTCCAAACAATTTTCATGACAATTGTGGTATTGAAGGGCAATTTTATAATTATTTTGACTACAAACGATAAGACATAACAGATTATCCAACCTAAAGCATAACAGAAACAACAAAATAAATCTATTAATGTTGGATGTACAAAACACCGAGACACGCCGCACAGCAATTCACATTCAGTATAACAGTCATATTCGGGAATATGACAATGATGGTATTGTAGGGCAATTTTATAATTATTTGGACAACAAACGATACGACATAACACATTATTCAACCGAAACCATAACAAAAACATCAAAAAATAAAAACATGAATGTTGGATGTATAAAATACCGAGACACGTCGTATAGTAATGTAAATTCACTCTCGGTATAACAGTCATATTGGGGATAAGGTCACGTTCGGTACTTAGCAGACAGACGACATAGATGTTAAACCACAATCTAAGACGTGGTAAAAATGTCATTAGTTAGTTTAGACACAGATACATCCATAAAATTTACGGAGTGTCATTTTTAATCTTTCCTCCTCATAACTCTGTTGGAGCAGTTTCTGCGTAAGGAGCACACTCCTGTATATGAAGTCAGTATAGTGTGAACATGCACGAGCATATAAGCGTATAAAAAGAAAAGAAAACCTCTGCTTATAATTGCAACATCCACTTCATTCGAACTTGGGTGGATAGTTGTCTCATTGACAATCATACCACATCTCCTTATTTTTATCTTGGAATAGCAGCTTTATTTTAAAATCAATCTATCTGTTAAAAAAAAACTTGATATAATGACAAAAGGCAATGTCTTTTATAAATATTCACACAAGTCCATGTGTCTGACAGAAAGATAGAAAAAAAAATCAGTATATGTGAATAATTTCCATTATGGTATTTTTGCTGACTGTTTAACCCTTTTACCAACCTAGCTCATATAGATTTGAGACATAGAGTTTTTTTTAACCGATTTACATATCTCATAAATCAATTAAGATTACATATAAAAAAAACTGAAGGTAATCGCATCAACTAAAAGTTAAGCGAAAACGAGTGCGTCGACAGGGTAAGCACACTTACTCAACATTTCATAATCAGAATTGGACATCAACGGTAAATTGATGGTTAGACGACTATTCTGGTATCTAAAGATCTAATTTCGCGAAGACATGCCGCTAGTGAGTTGATTATCTTTCAACCAATCCGTGATGGTGACCGTAAAACATATTAAGTGTTATATATCGATTTTAGTCGTTCTTTCTCATACATTTCTAACTATTCTCTAGCAGTTATTGTATAAGAAGCAATAAGCAAATTTTGTTTAAGGAGCAAATAACCAAATTTGTTTAAGGAGTACATTATCAAATGTGTGTAAGGAGCAAATAAGCAAATTAGTGTAGGGAGTAAATAAGCAAATTTGTGAAAGGAGTTAATAAGCAAATTTTGTTAGGACTTCATAAGCAAATTTGTGTACGGAGTCAATAAGCAAATTTGTGTAAGGAGTCAATAAGCAAATTTGTGTAAGGTGAAAATTATCAGAGTTGAAGGTGCCCATGCAAGACATTAAAAAGTTCTTTAAAACGAAGCAATAAGCAAATTTTGTTTAAGGAGCAAATAACCAAATTTGTTTAAGGAGTACATTATCAAATGTGTGTAAGGAGCAAATAAGCAAACTAGTGTAGGAGTAAATAAGCAAATAAGTGTAAGGAGTAAATAAGCAAATTTGTGAAAGGAGTTAATAAGCAAATTTTGTTAGGACTTCATAAGCAAATTTGTGTAAGGAGTAAATAAGCAAATTTGTGTAAGGTGAAAATTATCAGAGTTGAAGGTGCCCATGCAAGACTTTAAAAAGTTCTTTAAAACGTTTCCATGAGGCTCATAATAATGTTACTTTCATGCTTGTCGGTGAGTGATAAGGCACTATGTTTCAGTTCTTATCTAATGGTAGTATGTTCAACTTTTGAAACGGTTGACTAATTGTTGGATCTATGAAGCTATATTCAGTTCTAATTTTTAGTTGATGTTAAAAATAAAAAAAATATCATATTTTTACGCATGTCTTTTTTTTCTCTTTGGGAGTCTTATTGTAAAAAATCATTGATTATGAATTTATTGGATATTCAAGTTATACCTTCTTATAAAATAATACGTTAAATTATCCCATGAACAAATAGTCTCTCAATTTCAGGGAAATCTATTTTGATGACATCTTATGGTATCTGAAAAATTAAATATTTCATTTCAAAACGTGTGATTTGAAAGAAACAAAGAAACATTACATAAATGAATATAAGTAAATAAACCTGGCCTATATTCCTTTTTTAATAACTACTCTTACAATCATTACTTTTTAGTGAATCAAAGCGCGAAAGCGCTGTAAAGGCAGTTAATTACAGGTTGTGTGTATTTTTAGTCCAGTTATATCATTATCTTGCAAAGTACATTGTACTTATCAGAGGTGGCTTTCAGTATTTAAGATTTAGAGTTCTCTAATGATATTGAACAAGTTTTATGAATGTCATATTCTGAGCACTATATGAAGGCGATTGTTCTCACTTGTTTATGAACTAGTGCATTATGTCCAGTTTGTACCTTTTTTATCTATGTTTATAGTCAAATACTGTTTAAAATAGTTTGGCATTTTTTTTTAAGTAATAAGTAAATGTTATCAACTGTATTTTATTCAACTTTGCAAATGTGGTTTGTTACTGGTAAGTACAATGTATGGATAATAGTTGTTTCATTGGCAATCATAACACATCTCCTTATTTATATAATGATCTATATTCAACGACCTCAGGTACAAAAAAAATGTATGTAACTAAACTATGATGTGAAACCTTTGACTTCTTTCTTTAATATAAACTGTTGATTTGGTACCATAGAACTATGTAGAATAAATGTACATTGCAACATGTCAACTCTTTCAATGACAATACTTTTTTTAGAAACTATAACTCCAAGCAAAATTATATTTCCAAGTATAAAGTAATTTATGAATGAAACAAGAGTGCACACGCTGAAATGTCTCGCCTTCTTTACTAATCATTGATATTATGTTGATAGTCCTAAATATAAAGCTTTATTACAACTGTCACATAAACTTAACATTGACCAATGAACCAAGAAAATGAGGTCAAGGTCAGATGAACCATGCTAGGCAGGCATGCATAGCTAACAATTCTTCCATACAACAAATATAGTTGACCTATTGCTTATAGTTTAAGAAAAACAGACCAAAACACAAAAACTTAAAACTGAACAATGAACCTTGAAAATGAGGTCAAGGTAAAAAAAAAACCTGCGTGACTGACATATAGATCATAAAATATTTCCATACACCAAATATAGTTGAACTATTGCATATAGTATTAGAAAAAAAGACAAAACTCAAAAACTTTACTTTGACCACTGAACCGTGAAAATGAGGTCAAGGTCAGATGACACCTGCCAGCTAGACATGTACACCTTACAATCATTCCATACACCAAATATAGTAGACCTATTGCATACAGTATAAGAAAAACAGACCAAAACACAAAAACTTAACTATAACCACTGAACCATGAAAATGAGGTCAAGATCAGATGACACCTGCCAGTTGGACATGTACACCTTACAGTCCTTCCATACACCGAATATACTAGACCTATTGCTTATAGTATCTGAGATATGGACTTGAACACCAAAACTTAACCTTGTTCACTGATCCATGAAATGAGGTCGAGGTCAAGTGAAAACTGTCTGACGGGCATGAGGACCTTGCAAGGTATGCACATACCAAATATAGTTATCCTATTACTTATAATAAGAGAGAATTCAACATTACAAAAAATCTTAACTTTTTTTTCAAGTAGTCACTGAACCATGAAAATGAGGTCAAGGACATTGGACATGTGACTGACGGAAACTTCGTAATATGAGGCATCCATATACAAAGTATGAAGCATCCAGACCTTCCACCTTCTAAAATATAAAGCTTTTTAGAAGTTAGCTAACGCCGCTGCCGGATCACTATCCCTATGTCGAGCTTTCTGCGACAAAAGTCGCAGGCTCGACAAAAAGGAGTTCTTAATTAAGTAATAAACTGATTCGCTGAGGGCAGCTGGATACACCCACAGAGGTCCAACCCTGAACAGTTTGGGCAAAAATGGACACAATATTTAAGCTTGATACAGGTCTGAATTTGGATTGTAATTAAATATTTGACATATTATAGTTTCTGAATAAATGTAGTCAAAGAACTTGAAATTGGTTATATGAATTGAATTTATATTCAATTAAAGATTTCTTGCTGTTGTGCAATACACTGTGCTGTTGCGCAATACTTAATAAATCTGTTGCCAGACTATAAACAAATAAAGTTCAATTTCTTCTCAATGTCATATTTGAAGTTTATGAAAATCAATAGGGA